AAATATACAGTATCCGGCGCCGAGGGAATCTATCACCCTTTTCTCCGCTAAACACATGTCAGCCGAGCAAAGAAGGGAAAAAAACAAAGGAAAACCGAGAAGTAGGTTTTTTTTTTTAAAAAAAAAAAACAGCCATAATAACCAACGTGCCGGCGAACTGGTAAAGCCCTGTGGTGCCTTAAAGCTAGCGTGAGATATTCGTATATAGACGGAGAACAGGAACGCACATCACCTGTATGTCAAAACGGAGCTCCAGTTCGCGAACCAAAAATATGAGCCTTCAAACCAGGCATTCGAAGATGGGCGAGCTAGCTAGCTTAGCCCACCACCTGCATTTGCGTTCTTCTCTTTTTCCGACGCAAATCTACCGTACCGTCATTGATTTTGAATACCTATCTCCCGGTGCTTTCTGCGTCGCTGTGCAGTACTCGAGTACTGTACATAATAGTACTGTACAGTACCTGTAGAGTGTCCAGCTGCTCACTCGCTATTAGGCCATGGTCTTATATATCCACCAAAGCGACAAAAGACCCCCACCTACCCCCTCCTCCGGAGGACACTACTTGTATACCAACGGACGTTTCATAAGCCCTCCTCACACGAGCCTAACGCTAAATTAGGAATCCGTTAATAGGCAGAATGTCCCCTGTAGTACTATAGACACTAAAGTTATTACTCTCCCCAGACGAGTCCTAGCCATGACTATCCGTGCAGAGGTCATGGCCCGATAAAGTACTATACAATACCAAGGAAAAGGGTTGAAGTTTCCAATAAATAATAATCCCTACGCTTCATGATCCAGTGTGTGGTGATTAAAACGAGGGGTGGGAAGGGTAGTAAACGGAGGCGCATAGTCGTTCCCCAACCGCTGCTAACTAACGAGTACTTTACTGGACGGTACAGTACGCACTGCCAATGATCTATCCACCCGACGACAAGACCACAGTTCCAATTGAGCTTGCTACGGTAGCGAAGACCCTCACCCCGGCAGTGCAGACTGAATGCGCACTAATTAGTCTAATCTGTGTGGGCCAGAAGGAAGGATACCAAGAGAAAAACCACCGTGGCCAACACAACACAGTGCGATAAGTATGACGACGAGTCTGATACCGCAAGTACCATAAATTTACCTCTCCATCATAATTACAGCAGGGAGGCACCGCCAAGAACGCATCAGCCTACCCGTCCAGAGAAAAAAAAATAATATGATTCATTCATTCCTGTTGAGTTCATCTTTCCAATCGGCATCACCGGAACAGTGGAAAAAAAAAAAAGATTATCGGATATAATTCGGCAACATGTCAACGATGGTGACGGAATATATAATACAGCGCTGTAACTTTATCGTAATTCTGACCGAGGTCCTTATTATGATAACTTACCCCGTGGTCCGTTTGGCCTTACCGCACGCAGTCACGCTGTGAGATTTGGTGGTATCTTGCCGGTACCGGTATCATTTTTCAATATGTAATACTGTTGTCGTATATTTTACGGAAATTTGTCTGGTCGTGGCGGCTACGGATCCTCCTAGAAAGGAGGAAACTTGCAAATGGTGTCGATACAGTCAAGTCAAGGCGATGAGATTTGGAGCTCTGGATGTGGGTATCAAGGTATGATATTGTATATACTACGGTGTTTACACAGTATTCTACTGCACTGTACCATGCGCCGACAAATCTCGTCCAAGGGACTAGTCCCCAGTCCGGCAACGAGAATGCGAAAGAACGCAATTCTGGGTATGCGGATATTTCACCGTCTCCGGATTGGAGGAGAAGAACGAGGGAGAAACAATAACCTAACCCCTTGTTATATACAGCAAAAGGGCATCGTGACCCGCTCAAACTAGTGCTCTATGTTCGAAGGAGAAATTCGAGGGAAAAGCGTATAGATACCCCACCGCACCAGCACGGTGCTCCTTACTACCGGCACATTACGTCCAGCGTAGGCCATGCAATCTATGCTCATCAATGATATACGCCATGCATGCGTTCAGCACGCAATGCCAATACCCCCCGCGCGCCTCAGCCACCGGTATTAATCTCGACTCGGACGTGGTAGAATGGCACATTAATTTGCAGAGGGGTGGGAGGGACGACAAGCATAGCGGAGCAGATATACCAATGATACCGGTACTCGTCAAACAAAGAATTATCTGTCCTGAAATAACGTTACTCCAAAAGATGACTCAGCGAACTAGTACCACGACGCAAGCGCACATAATCCCCCCCCCCCACGCCCACAAGCTAGTTGTCCAGACGGATCAGTGCCTATCCAACCTCCGTCCGACAAATGCTACCCCACAAGACTATATACAGTATCCGGTATCATACGCTAGGCGGTTCTATGGTACAAGGCTATACCATGAATTTATGGTACAGAGCAGGGATCAGAGCTTAGAAGGCAGTGGTACGGCGCTTGCAAGATGCGTACCACAATTTTGTCCAAATAAGAGCTATTGAATTTGAGAAAGTAAAGAGCTAAAGAACTACGCATATCATGATAATCATAGCTAATCGTTACTGACTATTGGTTTTTTTCCTTTCCA